CTGTACAGTTAGCTGGAGATGATGTTCAGAAACATCGTCAACGGTAGTCCATCAGTGTGAGGAACCTCCACAGTATCAGTGAGGATTACTCTGCTGGGTTGTTGAAATAAACTCAAAAAAGAAACAACCAAATATAAGAAGTCTTCTGCAGATAATAATCTACTGCTTCATTTCTGCTCTCATCTGAAGAGTCAAACTGAAAGAAGCTGTCCTCTAACAATAAAAGGAATAAATAAATGTGTCAGGGTCCCTACTGCCAGGGGTCTTCTCTACCTTTAGGGAAACTGTGCCGAACAGGGTCAGTTTAATTTGCTTTAATTCACTCTAATAAAATCCAGAATGTTTACTTCCTACAAACATAACAACTTCTCTGTCTGCGCTAATTCAACACAATTCATTTTAACAGGACTTAATTAGTACCAAGCAGCAAAACAAAATAGCATGAAAAGTAGCTTAGTCTCATAATACGGATAAAAAATCAGAACACGGAAATATTATCGCTTTTTACGCATAGAAATCTATGAACATTAATACTGGAAATGCTTTCAGTAGATTTGTGATGAGAGTTTGTGTAACTATGCCTATTATCAGGGCTGAGGAACATTGTTGTGCTGAGAGCAGAACTCTAACATTATATGTTCTCATGATCCCTGAGCCTAATGTTTATTTTCTTTCTTTAAACAGGATATCAGGTTATTTTCTCTAAGTTTGACTCCCAAGCAGAAATACAACACAACAGGAAGACGGAACATAAGATCAATAATCTCAGACTATTCTGGAGTAACAGATGAGCTCTTAGATTATAACATGCAGGGGTTGACATTAAGGATTTTTACCAAATTTCATTTGCCCAGAAACAATTTTTACTTTCCGAGTATAATGTTTGATAAGTATAGTTCCTAATATTCATTTTTGTATATATATCAATGAAACATGTTTGTTTTTTGAATGTTTTTTTGTAATTCAGTAAGTTTACAGGTTCCTGGTGTGTATCTGCATGCCACAGATAATGAACTCAAGCCTACATTACCGTATTAACATGCTTTTCAATCCTTTCTGCACATTCTTTTCAAACTAAACTTTGCTTTAAACTGTTGTGAGCTTGGAAAAATATAATTGTAATGTTAAAAATCAAAAAAAAACTTGACAGGTTAAAAACTTAAGATAAATCACAAGACAGAAGTCAATGTCACAAATGAATAACTTTTATTTTAGAGTTACGGTATGTTTATACAAGATAATACTATTAATATAATGTGACTTTTCTAGAGAATCATTATACATAGTTATTTTATACAGGGTTTCCATAATACATAATTTCAGAATTCCCTGACTTTTAACCAACTCAGGATTAGTGTTCCCTGACAAAATAAATGCAGCCATTTGTCGTTTTGGTAACTACATCAAAATTACCGCTAGGTGGACAAAAATCACGCCATCTGGCGGAAAATCACGCGGTTTTTCAAATAACGCAAACAGAACAACAAAAATGGTGCCGGCAAAGCTTCTGGTTAATTTTTAATCAAATGTCGGTGATTATAAAGTAATTTTGACTGATAAATAATTTATTTTTTTGCAATCATTGCACTTGCCCGGCGGGCAAATGCAATGAAATTTGTACTCTCCCAACAATAAAAACTACTTGCCCCGGAAGATCGGGCGATGGTTAACATCGAGCCCTGCCATGTAAGAAAAGTTACATAATGCATAGGAAAATGCCATAAAATAAAGTAAATGTTGTGATAAACTTGACTTAAACAATCTTTGCTGTTTTTTCATTGTTCACTGTGCAGCTTAAATGACAGTTATGTCTTAAACTGCAGAAGTAGTAAGCTCGTTGAATGTCAGTATAGAAATTGGTCTGTAACATCGCATCTATGTATGGAAAAGATTGCAGCGAGCATGTTTTTTTAAATTAAATCAATGATATGCATATTCGATCTCCAAACTTATATCTACACTGCACACCCAGAAGCAGAACCAAATATAAAGAAGCAGCTTTTAATCTCACTAATCTGGAATAAATTCTTAAACACTAAATTGCTTTAAACTGAGATTACAACCATATTAGTTTAGAATGGCCTTTGGCTGTGCTATCTAATCACAGTTAAGTTTTCAGTCCAATTCTCTTTTGATTTTTTTTAACAATTATTTTATCTAATTTTTTATATTTAATACAAATATATGGATCAGTTAAGATCAGGCTTCAGTGTGTTTCTCACACATAAGGTTTATTTTTCAGAACTTTGTACAAAAACACTCTGGGGTCACCAGTGCAGAGCTAGCTAAACAATGGTTTTTCGGTGGGGGTAATACCTGCACAAAGTAAAGCACAGACTCCAGACAAGAGCATAAAGAACCCATTGTTGTCTAACAGGACATTGTGAACAGAGTGAAACTCTAAAATGGAACAAGGATCGACAGCTGAAAACTATGGATCCTTCTGATTGTTTGGGATATCTAGGGTAGAAAAGGTGAGAGTAACCTTAAGTCCTGTTTGGGGTCAACAGTGAGGCAAATGCATGCATGCAATCCATGTATAAAGTTGATCATTAATGTATGTGTGCTTTGTCTCAATGCCAGGAATAACAAGTGGAATCAACAGGCAGATGATCTATGGATGTTCCAGGATGACTGAGCACCAATTCAAAAGGTGAAAGTCATAAAAAAGTGAATAAATCCAGTATCCGCTGCTGCTTCAGAAGGTGATATTAGGCATATCATAGGAAAATGCAGAAGATTTGAAGAATGTGTTATTTCTAGATAGTAATTCTACATGCAAATTATGTGTTTTTGTTATAGGAGGTTTTAGGACATGTGAATTATTAAAGTGGCCTTCCTTTGAAACTCAAACAGATATCTCTGTCTGTTTGACTTCATTTTGGCCATGACTTTACATTTACAATATGACATTTCAATGCAGGACTGCTGTTTACATGACAAACATTAGGCTTGTGGGTTCTGATTACAGCGTAATATTTGCCCTGGCTGCAAAAACACAACTGGTCAGTCTGACACCTTTAAACATCAACCTTAAACTCATAAAAATGTTCTACTTTAGCAAAAAATAAATAAATAAATATATATATATATATATATATATATACTGTTTATTTAAAGGTGTTTTGTCTAAGAACATTTCTAAATCTGTCTCTTTGCAGCTAGTGGAGAATAAAACCTGCTCTAGGTTAGATGTTTGCATATGTAAACAAATACTTCCAAAGCACGACAACCCTCAGTTTGCTTTTTGCACCCACTGTCCTAATTCAGCTAAGGACGACTAACTCAATTCTCCCTCTGAGAGAACACCAATTCTGTCGTTCCAATGAAGTTAGACATTTTGTATCTCCTTGATCACGAAAAACCAATTTATGGTCACATCTATCCAGTTAAACCGTCCTTCATGTGATACATACAGGATCAACTTTACATTTTTCAATCAATGTGTTTGGTTTATACATCAGGCACTGTGAAAGTAAATACAATGTGTTACAATGTGAAGGTATGTTCGTTCAACGCAGGAGATACACAAGACATACAGTTTTCATCAGCTTGTATGAAGTAGGGCTGCAACTAACGATTTTTTTGCTAATCTATCAGCCTGCCGATTATTTTTCAGTTAACTGAGTAACAATCGAAAATCAAAAGGGACCTTAAAGAAGATTTTTTACAGAATTATACCAGGTGAAACTAAAACTTTTTTACTTGAGGATTTCTGGGTAGAGCTTATTGACAGACAAAAAAGTTTTTTATCTTAAATGCATAATATTAATATATATTCTTACAATTTTGGTATAATTACTTCTCTGAATGGGTTTCTCTCTCAGGTAAAGGCATATTTTAGTCTCTATACTCCAGTTCACGATTAATTGATTACTAGATTAGTTGATGAATGTTTCAATAATCAATTAATCAGGATTAATCCAATTAATTGTTTCAGCCCTAGTATGACGGTTGTCTTCATTTGGGGGCTTCTGAATATGGATTGGATATATATATATATTTTTTTTTCAGATACCCCACTCAGTATTTGGGGGAAGTATAAATGTGTTTTTGGTTTTTTCTCTGATACACATAGAATCAAGATATACCAGAATCCCCTCTAATGGCTACACCATAAACACTTTTTGTTGCCTTTAGCTTTTTGAAACTTCTAGGATGAGTCTGGCTTAATATCAGTCTACAAATCTAAGCCCCCTTCTTCATCAGCCCATACATATGGTGCAATGCACCAGTACTGCTGGAACCGGAGCAGACCTACACCATAACCTTACCACCACCACCATGTTTGAACATTACAAATGCCTTTCCTTCAAATGTAACATTTAATAAAATAAATAGATTTTCAATGATATAAGATGCATTAACAACAAACACTAATGGGAACAAACAACCACAAATTTTTAGCCTGGGTGCCATTCCGAACTTAGTCCCGCCCACAACGTTTGAGGTCGTGAAGTTCGGTCTGGCATTGCTCCATAGTAGCGCGAGTATGATCGCCCACTCTCTGGCGATCCAATCAAATTGTCAGGGCGGGCTTTATACGATGATGGACAGATGATCAACAGTAACGTATTCAACCATGTGACCAAAGCGCGCTTGGGTGACAACAACAATGGCTGCCGCCGGAGAGTTGAAGAGAGTAGATTCTGCTATTAGGTCTGTTCTAGAAGATATCGACAGCAAATTAATTTTAAAAGAGGAACAGAGAAACGCGATCAAGGCTCATCTTCTTATTCTAGGCGTGAAACTGCATGCTTTGATTTTTGTTGACAACAACTATGCGTCGCTTAACATACGTCACGCACTCCGTTGCTCTTTTTGGTTGTAGGTCTATCCAATTGAGTGCAAAGGCATTTTTTTTCCTGGTTCGTTCAAAACACGCCCCATAATCACAGCTCTATGGAGCAGTATCAGACTCATATTCTGACTAGAATTGAGTAGGACTACGTCAGGCTAACAAATTTTCTCACCTGAGTTGAGTTTTTATTTTGTCTTACCTTGTGGCCATGCTGCACCATACAGGAGCTCCTGTGGGGGACAAAACAAAGAATTTGATCTCTAAGCTTTCTGCAATCGTGCCACTATAATGATATTGAAGCAGGTGTCTATTAAAGTGTTAATGGAACAAATGACTGTAGGATCTATTGCACAAGGTTTCTGCCAAAAAGTCCACAAACGCAATAAATACTTCTACAAGTAGCTAGCCAAACTTCATACAGAAGCTAAAAAACTATTCCCCACGTGCATGTTTAACATTTTACTTGCAAAAATAGAGAATCACGGGCCCCCAATATGGCACAAACAAGATGCTTTCTTCCTCTCGCATATGGACCTGTTTCTGCTCACTCCTATCACCCGCCAGAAGCTGTACTCTTCTTCCTACTAGCAAAGCAACTACACGCCAACTGCTTCTCTTTAAGAGTTGGACAAGCCCTCCTTTGTGATATATTTGGGCCCCGAGGTACTCTATTTAAGCATCTAAGCATTATACATGCATGTGAGGAGTACTTTGTGAACGTTTACATGAAGTAAAGCTGCTTGTAGGAGTATTTATTGTGTGTGTGCACTTTTGACAGTATCGTGACGCCATAAACACTAATCACTAGTGTTGCGCCGATGCCATTTTTTGGTCCCAATACCGATACCCGATACCTGGATGTGTAGTATTGGCCGATGCCGATACCATACCGATACCATACCAATACCATCTGATCCCATCTGAGGTGTATGTGTATATATGAAGAACTGCATACTACTTGGATGTAAAATAACTGCCATCATGGCTTTGTCAAGCTGCTGCCTACCTTTGTGAAGCAGGAAAAAGACTAATGCAAAGTGACTCCAGATAACTTTTTATTGCCTTCCTGAAATTGGTGACAACAGTTGAATAAACTTTTGGCTCTCAAAATGGTATCAGTGCCCTATTTGATGGTACTCCCCGATACCGATACCACAGTTTTAGTGCTGGATCGGGGCCACGCCTGATACTGGTATCGGTGCAACACTAGTAACCACCAACTGTATTTACCTGCAGCATTATTATAGGTAAATGTTTATGTTATGTCCAGACAATATGGTAAAATATCCACACAAAAAATAGGTGTAACACCAATATATAATGAGTTTAAAGAAAAGCTACACAATTTGAGTTACACCTTAAGTTATTTCTGCTTAAAGGCAGAACTAGTTACAAACTTTTAGTACATTTAAAGAAGAGTGCAGCAGTAATAAAATATGCATCAAGAGGAAAATTACTAGGCTCCGAGCGAAATAATCCACAAGTCTGAGATGGAAACCTTAAGCTCCCTCCTCTTTCCTTAATGAAAGGAAAGAATGGGAAGAGAGGATGAAGGACAACATCTAAAACCAAGAGGCTCCATAATGTTGTGGGGAACCTTTGGTAGGAGCTGTTTGTAGTTTGGACCTTTTAACAAGAGAAGGTTGCTTCTTTCTGATAAGAACAATTAGATTTAGTTAAATGTATTACAATACACTTTAATATGGGACAAGTGCAGTCAAATGTAAAGTGTCATCTCTAACATCCCTTCACTGATACTGAAACACTAACACCATCTTGAGTAAAAATGCTCTCCTTCCTACACATAAAGCTAATCACAGAAAAAAAAAATCATGTTGAGAATCAATGAATATTGAATGATGAACAAAAATAATAGGTGCCTAAGAAGTTACTGGCTGTGTCCGAATGTCCACCTTTATAACTAGGGCACTATACAGTGATTATGCCTTTTTAAATAAGTGTCCAAACATCTAGTGGATAAAAAGGTTGTGGACACGAAATTTCCCACAATGCACCTTGAAAAGTAGTGAGCATAGATGGTCACTAGGCGACCAGATATATCCCAGATTGCTTTGCTAGAGCTCTCCTCGTAAAGCATCATGGGATTTGTGGTGGTGGTGACAAATAACAAATGCGGGAAGGCGGAGTTACGTGAACAACAAGGAGCGACAAGTAATTATCACGTGTCTGAACGGTCCGTTAACCGAGTTCACTATAAAATCCACTATATAGTCCCTGCTCTATATACGTAATGATTGAGGGATTAGGGGTTAGGGCAGATGTTCGGACACAGCCACTGTCATGATTCTTGGGCACTAGTGCTGGTTTAATTAATCTTTTAACACACCTGTCAACCCCGCCCCGTTCCCAATCAGACTCCATCAGATTCACCTGCTCACCTGACTATACAGTATAACCAGCTCTCAAACCAGTCACTAGCACCATATTATTGGTGAGTTTGGTCCATCATTCCTTTTACCTTTCTGCCTGCTTGATTCTGACCTGATTCTGCCTCCTGTTCCTCTAAGCCTGCCTGAACCTTATTGGCTCTCTCATAGTTCTAGCGGGACAAAATTCTCCCTCTACCGAGTGACACCAACACATATAAGTCTTTGAAAAGAGATCCAACCAACGCCTACAAAAAGAAAATAACGGACCATCTCAAACAACCAGAAAAAGACAAGGTAATTAACAGTTCAGTTTATTTTGGATTATATCTAGGGGAAGACATTCCATGCTTATATGGACTCCCAGACATTCACAAAGAAGGAACACCACTCAGACCCATTGTCAGCAGCATTAACTCAGTAACATACAACATTACTTAACAGCTTACTAATTAAACCCCCAGCCCCCCCCCCCCCCCCCCCCCCCCCCCCCCCCCCCTTGTGGGACCCACACCACATTACATAGAAAACTGAAAAGACTTTGCAAACAAAGTCAAACATTGAAAGATGGCGCCAGGAGAAACCCTGGTGTCTTTTGATGTTGCTTCACTTTTCACGTGCATACCTATATCAGAAAAAGTTGAAACAGTCAGGAAGCATCTTCAGCGAGACAGTGACCTAAACAGGACTAATTTCACTCTGGACCAGATTTGCACCCTAATGAATCTTTGTCTTTCCACAACCTATTTCAATTTCAAGGATATTTTTTACAGGAAGAAGCAAGGCTGTGCCATGCAATCTCCAATCCAATTGTAGCCAAACTTTACATTGTAGAAATGGAAAAGGGATCTTTGGACACTTTCAGAGGAACACCACCAAGCCACTGGTTAAGATATGTAGATGACACATTCGTCAAAATCCAGCGAAAAGAAGTGGAAGCTTTCACAAGACACATAAACTTGGTTGACAACAACATCAAGTTTACCAGAGAGGTTTCGAACGACAACAAGCTACCTTTTCTGGACTGTTTGGTGAGCATGGAAGGAGATGTAAACCTCAACACTGAAGCGTATAGGAAATCCACTAACACACACCAATATCTTCTTTTTGACTCACACCATCCAGTGGAACATAAACTTTCTGTCATCAGAACCTTACAACTCCAGGTCGATCATGTCCCTACCAAAACAGAGGGGAAGCACAAGGAACAGAAACACATCAAGGATGCTCTCCAAACCTGTGGATATCCAAAGTGGTTGTTTGTCAAATCAGCAAGGAAATCCCAACATAGCACTGAGAAGAATAAACGCAAATACGTCGCCATCCCATATGTTGCTGGAGTCTCTGAAAAACTCAAGAAGATTTTCTCCAAACTCAAAATCCCAGTACATTTCAAACCAAACAAGACCATTAGACAGAGGCCAGTGCATCCCAAAGACAAAACCCTGAGACCTAAGATTGGCGAAGTGGTGTATGCATTTTAGTCCAGCTAGGAATGCTCTGATCTTTATATTGGAGAAACCAAACAACGTCTCCACAGACGCACGGCTCAACAGAGACAAGCTACCTCCTCCGGACAAGACTCTGCTGTCCACCTACACCGTAATGACAAAGGTCATTCGTTTGACCAGAATGTTCACATTTTGGACAAAGAAGACAGGTGGTTTGAAAGAGGTGTGAAGGAAGCCATTTATGTTAAGATAGAAAAACCAACCTTAAACAGAGGGGGTGGTCTCTAGTTACAACTCTCAAAAACCTACAACACAGCGATTGAGTTGATTCCTTCTCGCTATCATTTCAAACTATTGCCATGCAGGGGACCAAAACATCTTGCCTGGTCAGCCAGGCTAACAATGACCCTAACGACTCCCATCTCAGAGGCATAGGCCAGTATCGGGTTTTGCAGACTAACAACAACCTCAACAACTCTCCATTACTAATGGATTAACCTGTTTTTTTTTTTTTGGTTCAATGTGCATGTTCTCTAAGCCATAACAAGGCTTTTGTTTGGGCCACTCTATAAGACTGGAACTCTAGTCCTGACATTTTGAATTGAGAAAGCTCCCTGGATGGGAAGCTAAAGAGTTTTCAAACTTTGAAAACAAAGTCCACAAATTTTTTTTTTTTTTTTTTTTTGTTCGAATGGCCTCTCATAGTGCGCTTTTGGATCTCTGACTTGTTTTCTGTGCTCTGACCTCCCTCCCAGATCCTCCCCATTGTCTCTGGATCTGGGATCACCTGGCTCTGTCACTGAACCGGCTCTCAGATTTTCTTACTCTGATTTGTCCCCTTGATTATTCAACCTGTCACTGCTCTCACTGATCTGACCCTGTGTCCCTTGGACCCATGGGTACCTGTCAAAGGATTTCTCTAAACCAACCTTGATGAATTCAGGAATCCTCAGCGATTAAGTGGCGTCATGCCAACTGGCTCCTTCAGAAACCCTCAAAGTTTGTCCTTGAACTCTGAGGTTAGTAAACCAGAATTCAACACTGGAAACATTGCTCTCTGTTTCTGTTTGCTCACTCAACTGTCCAATCTTCTCCCAGAAGTTTGCGGTTGCTGACTCTGGTGAATCCCTACTGACCTGTGCTAGGTTCATATTTTTATAAACTGTTTAAATCTAACTCGTTGAAATCTGGGAAATCTATGCTCTTCTATTCTAAATTGACCTCCAATGCATCCGATCTTCATGGATCATCCATGAGATTCGTCTTTACTTTGAAATGAAACTCCTCAGGTCAAACTGATTCAGAGAGTAGAATGATGGACAGAAAAAAGCTATGGAGTCAAAGGAAATGTCTACAGACCTCTGAGTCCAGTTTAAACCAAGGCACATATCTTGGAGTATTGCCCAGAGAGGTGACCCAACCCACTAGGCACTAATGTGAAGTAACGGGTTTTTTTTTTGTGGGGCTGACCTAGTAATGTCAGATCTGTTCAGAAGGTCTACCATTACAATAGCATGATGACACTTTTTACAAAGGGTTTCTTTTAAAAAAGACTAAAAGTTTACATAGGGAAAAAAGTATTTGATTGGGGTTTTGCGATTTCACCAACAGAAAGTTAACATCGAAGGGTGGAAATCACACATTTATTGAGATGCATTGCAATATAAGCATGTATTGTGATCATTACTGTATAGCACTAGAAATATGATATGCAAAACTTGCATTGAAATTTTTGTTTGAAAAAATAATATTAAAAACATCTATATATGCAGGAAGTACAGAGTTGTGCATTTTGTAGCACTGTCACTTTGCATCAAGACTATTCCAGGGTTTTCGTCCCCTGGTTCTGGTGGAAGTTTCTTCCTGTTAAAAGGGATTTTTCCTCTCCACTGTCGAAACAAGCATGCTTGCTGTGAAGGTTTGCCTTTAAATCAATAAGTCAATTTCCTTAGAAAACTTTGAATCAGTTTGACTGTACGATCTGGTTGAATTGTCTCTGTAAAGGGCCTTGATATGACATGTGTTGTGAATTGGCGCTATGTAAATAAATTGAATTGAAACTGAATTAAATAAAGGTTAGATGAAATTGTCTCTCTACGTTGATCTTAAGTCTGTGTAGACAACAGTTGATGGACATATTGCTTGCAGTAGTAACAATCTTCCAGTCTGACTTACTGATTACTCCCAAAACAATTAATACCTACAACTCTTTTGAACATTTAACCCTTAATTTCCCTGATCCAAATTTCAAGGCAAGAAAACCTCTTCTTTTTGTAACTTTGTATCGTCCACCAGGTCCTTACTCTGAATTTTTAGATGAGTTTTCAGAGTTCCTTTCTGATTTGGTATTAAATACTGACAGGGTCATCATAGTGGGAGATTTTAACATCCATGCTGACATTGAAGGCGATAGCTTAAGAGCAGCCTTTAATGCTATCTTAGACACTATTGGCTTTGTTCAAAATGTGAATAGTCCCACGCATTCTCATCTTCATACTTTGGATCTTGTGCTGACATACGGCATAGAATGTGAAGAAATAACAGTATTTCCTCACAACCCTGTCCTCTCTGACCACTTTCTAATAACCTTCAGGATTACTTTAACAGAGTTCTCCTCCCCCAAAAGAAGGTTCAATTTTAGTAGATCTTTATCAGATAGTGCAGTTATAAATTTTAAAGAATCTGCTTCACTTTCTCTCTGCTCTGTGTCACTGAGCAGTGCTGCAGAGTGCAAAAGCTTAGCTTATTCCCCTTCACAGGTTGATGATTTTGTTGATGGGGTTGCTAGTTCTCTGCGTATTGCCTTAGACAACGCAGCTCCTTTGAAAATGAAAACCGTTAAAAATAGAAAGCTTGCTCCTTGGTTTAATGCAGAGCTGCGTACTTTGAAGCAAAATGCTAGGAAACTGGAGAGAAAATATCGCTCCACAGGCCTGCGAGAGTCCTTCCTAGTCTGGAAAAATGGTTTACTGCTGTATAAGAGGACCCTTTGTAAAGCAAGAGCAGCATACTTCTCCTCATTAATAGAGGAGAATAAGAATAATCCTAGATTTCTTTTTAATACAGTTGCCAAACTCACCCAGAGCCATAGCTCTGTTGAACCGTCCATTCCACCTGCTCTTAGCAGCAATGATTTTATGGGATTCTTTATAAATAAGATTGATCTTATTAAAAAAAAGATCATAAGCACTCCTCGATCCGCGATTGTACCTGAGGTAGTCATGGAATCTGAACCGGGTTTAGACTGCTTTGATCCAGTTGAACTCTCTGAATTAGCAAAATTATTGTCTTCATCTAAGCCTTCAACTTGTATGTTAGATCCAGTTCCAACCAGGTTATTTAAGGAGGTATTCCCTTTGATCTCCTCCTCCATTTTAGATGTGATTAATCTATCTCTGTTACAGGGATATGTACCTAAAGCTTTTAAGATTGCTGTAATTAAACCTCTGCTTAAGAAACCGTCTCTTGACCCAGATGACTTGGTCAATTATAGACCTATATCCAATCTTCCTTTCTTATCCAAAATTCTTGAGAAAGTAGTTGCCAAACAAGTTTGCGATCACTTCCACCATAATGAACTTTTTGAAGAGTTTCAGTCTGGCTTTAGAGCTCATCATAGCACTGAAACAGCTCTGGTGAAAGTCACTAATGATATTCTCATGGCCTCAGATAATGGACTTGTATCTGTGCTCGTCCTGTTGGATCTTAGTGCTGCATTTGATACAGTTGACCATAATATTCTTTTAGAAAGACTTGAATATTTTGTTGGAATTAAAGGAACAGCACTAGACTGGTTTAAATCTTATCTATCTGATCGAATTCAGTTTGTTCATGTTAATGATAGATCTTCAACACGCTCAAAGGTTACCTGTGGAGTACCACAGGGATCAGTGCTAGGACCAATTCTCTTTACTTTATACATGCTCCCAATTGGTAGAATTATTAGACAGCATGGGATTAATTTCCACTGTTATGCTGATGATACCCAGCTATATCTGTCTATAAATCCAGATGAAGCTAACCCATTACATAGATTACAGGCATGTCTTGAAGACATAAAAACCTGGATGACTCTTAACTTTCTGCTTCTGAATGCAGACAAAACAGAAGTTATAGTCTTTGGACCAGAGTCTCTGAAAAAGAAACTGATTAGCCAGTCACTTCATTTGGATGGGATTAAACTGATTTCAGATAATAAAGTAAAAAATCTTGGTGTTATTTTTGATCAGGACCTGTCATTTAAATCCCATATCAAAGAGGTTTCTAGAATTTCCTTCTTTCATCTGAGGAACATTGCAAAAATTAGAAATATCCTGTCCAGGGGTGATGCTGAGAAACTAGTCCATGCATTTGTTACTTCAAGGCTGGACTATTGTAATTCTTTACTATCAGGAAGTCCACAAACTGTAGTTAAAAGCCTTCAGCTGATCCAAAATGCTGCAGCCAGAGTTCTAATGAAAATGAAAAAGAGAGATCATATCTCTCCTATCCTGGCTTCTCTTCATTGGCTTCCTGTTAAATCAAGAATAGAATTTAAAATCCTCCTTCTCACATATAAAGCCTTAAATGGCCAAGCTCCATCTTATATCAGAGATCTGATTGTTCCTTATGTTCCTAACAGAGCACTTCGCTCTCAATCTGCAGGTTTACTAGTGGTTCCTAGAATTTCTAAAAGTAGAATGGGAGGCAGATCTTTTAGTTATCAGACTCCTCTCCTGTGGAACCAACTACCAGTTTTAGTCCGTGAGGCAGACACCCTGTCTACTTTTAAGGCTAGGCTTAAAACTTTCCTTTTTGATAAAGCTTATAGTTAGGGTGGCTCAGGTTATCCTGAGCTATCTCTATAGTTATGCTGCTATAGGCTTAGACTTTTGGAGGACATAGGGACCCCCATTTCATCATTCTGCTTCATTTTCTCTCTGTTCTCCTATTCTGCAGAATCTGTTAGTTCAATCTCTAACCTTCTGCTCTCTCTGCTTTTCCTCAGAGTAGCTTTGCCTCGTCTGTTCCTGTTTGGCTGTGACGTCATCCTGGAAAAAAACATCAGCTGTGCTGCTTCTATCAACACCCTTGTTAATAGATGTTGGAGATCGGCCTGTTTTCCAGTGTGGTCCTGTTTCTCTGACCGTGACTGAGTGGATGTGCTCTCTTCGTCCTCTGGCATGGGAGCTGCCTTGGAGCTCGTCTGCCTGGCTGTGTGTTTCCTGGACGGGGCCGCCTTTTACAGCTGCTTTTTGTATCTCTGCTTCTGTCTCCTTGAACCCCAGTCGGCCTCGGCAGATGGCCGCTCACACTGAGCCTGGTTCTGCTGGAGGTTTCTTCCTGTTAAAAGGGAGTTTTTCCTCTCCACTGTCGCTACAAGCATGCTTAGTGTGGGGGATTGTATTTGAGTCAATGAGTCAATGCAATCAACTGGTTTTCCTTAGATAGAAAACTTTGTATCAATTTGACTGTATGATCTGGTTGAACTGTAAAGTGCCTTGAGATGACATGTGTTGTGAATTTGGCGCTATATAAATAAACTGAATTGAATTGAATTGAATTGCTTGCAAGTTACCTTTGGTTCTCGTCCAAACAGAGTCTCTGGCGGATACAGTGACAACCATCATAATCAGCATGATGGAAACAAGGCTGTAGATCCTAAATGAACAGAAGGCAAAAAACCTGCAGACATACATCAAAGTTTAAAAATATAATTATTGAATTAAGCTTTTTTGTGATCTGTATGAGTTTTCACAGCTGGACTCTGTTTCTAAACAATCATCTCCATCTTGTTTAGTTTTCACCCCCCCCAGCATACATCTCTCTTAAAATCGACCCGTTTTTCCTTGTGTTCTTCCTCTAATTTATCATCTTAATGTCAGTACATTTTTTTATTTTCTGCTACTAGTAAAGCTGTTTATTTCCACCTGCCTGCTTCCTATCTGCATTTCGGTGCTGCTCTGCATCATATGACAAGTTTCTTCATAAACTTGCTAACATTGTGTCTTTTATACTTAAAGTAAAATGTTCAAATCCTATATTAATTCATTAAAAATTTGATATCAGGAAGGTGAGTCTTTTTTTTATTTCGGACAATTAAAATGTGGTAAGCAATAAGATGAAGAAATAAAGTTACATTATAGAAGCTCTTCCTCTCATCAAAGTAATTTACATCTTCTTGGAATATTTAAACATTTAGGATAGTTTTCTTTTTATAGATTTATTGTATAAGCCATCCACACAAGTATATTATTTACTCTATATCTGATCACAAAATGCTTAGCTAAATCATATTGTCCCATTCTGTAAAACTTGTTCTATGCGGTCACCATGCCCGTATTTATATAATTGCTGGTCTTGATTTAATTTTCTCTGATGAAAATGTTATAACAAGTTTAAAAGAAAATGTTCTATATAAATAAAACAAAAAGATCAACTCTGGGTTAGTGTGGAAAACTGTTGAAGTAAAATTTGTTTCTAATCACAGCATTACACTGGAAGATAGATAAATTGTTTTAAAAACTTTTTCATAAAAAAACATAAAATAGTTATAACCGAATAACATCAAACATAAAAAGGAATTCGTTTATTATTAATTAATTTCCCTTGCTTTGACTTAATTGCTTAATATATATACTCCAATAATCTCAATAAGAATTATGCCAAAAAAAGTCTCAAAATAAATCCTAATACACTATAACATAATATTTTGATTTGATGCAAATTGATGCTTAATGTTGTTCTAACAGACATGAGGTCAGTGTTGCCTGATGGATATCCCTGCGTCATGATGCCTACCAGATCCCAGCGTTCGCTGCAGCAAACAGGGCTGAGGTCCTGCACGGATGCTGCCTCCAGCTGACCAGCCGGCTGAGATGAAACCCTGCCCGGCCGGGAGGCTTCTCCTCCTCCTCCTCTCCGCGCTCCGGGTTCAGGGTCCCCAAGGGCCTCACCGACCCGAGGGCCGCCTCCTGTCCGCCAGCGGCGCCTGCTCCCCAGCTGCCCAGCATTGCTCAACGGCTCTCTGCCGCTCCCCTCCACCTAATATATGGTCAATCCTTAATAGCAACCATAACAGTTTCCGGATTACATCCTGATTTCAAAATAAAATATTGTTGAAATAAAGTAGGCAATATTTAAACTTTTACTGTAATATAAATATTATATAAAATGTATTCTATAATTGATGCATTTGCTTCAAGTGTTTAGCCTTGATGCAGAGGAGTTAATGGCTATAATCTGAGTAGATAACGCTGAAAAAAATAATAAAACAAGTACAATTTTCCCTCGAAACATAAAAAATAACAGAACATTTAATTTCCCTCTTTAATGATTTATCAATTTGTATTAAAGAAATGTTGTTTTATTGTGAAAGGATCATTCATCTCAGCCATTGCAGCTTTAAATTCAGCTGATCCTGTTGCTGATTTAGATCAATGACGTCAGGTTTTGGTGTCTGTGATAAATAAAAGTTTTTGAGTCATTTCTATTGTATCAAATACGGTTTAATACAACATATAACGGTGTGAAATCTATATATCGATATAGTGGCATTAACTAACTATGCATGAAATGTAGTTTGATTGCAGAAGCATCAGTAGAAACAAAACATTATTTTGTGTAGTGTTTAAAACTTCAATTAAATCCATGTGTTGCTATCTAATAAGAAACAGTGTGAACATGAGGGTATGATTCTTACTGGGTTTGAAATGTATATGAATGGCTTCAGAGCAGGCTGTCCAGAGCTGCCTCTTAGGGCCTCAAGGGCAGCAGGGGGCCCCAAAGAACAGCTTTCAAAGAGAGCTCACAGCCTTTTCAGTTACATCAATCAGGCATGTAAAGTTGCTCTCAAGTTTAATGAAAAATTTGATAATTTTCCTTTCTAAGTCTAAATGGAAACTAAAGATTTGTGTGGAACAAACATGATGATGTCACAGTTGCTCATTCACTGCAGCTGTAGAATGACCATCCATCAATTTTCTCTACCCCACTTAATACTTTGAATGAACATGTGTACGTCTGCTTTAGTCTCTCTTGCTCCAGGAAAAGTGAGTTTATTTCTGGCTTCATGCATTATTATGGAGGGCTTTGTGATTGTTTTTTAAAAGACATAAAGGCAACATTCAATAATGCATTTAAGATAAAAGGAGGCTTCGGCCGAGGAGAAGCTACATCACTAACTGCTGATACTAATCTGACAGAGTGGGGATGCACAGAAGCATTGCAGAAAATCATAACCAACTTGCAGCTTCTATATTCAGTTTTCTGTATAAATAACTGAAAATAGGTGTTTATTTAGAAGGTCTGGAGGGCTTTGTTTGCAGCTCTAACAGTGAATTAGCTCTTCTTTAGATTTTTAATCCATCTTTCCAAATATTCCAAAGTAAACAATGTAATTACTATCATACAGAGTCTGTTAACCCAGTTCCCTGGCAAATTCAACTTATCAGACTAAAAATGCTGCTTTCACTTTAGATAAAAGGAAAAATTACGCACATTAACTAGATATGAAATATGTTCAACAGTATATAAAAGAGGGCTTTATTTTTGCATGTTTCCATAGCAACATCACGAGCTGCCAACATCCCTCAGAGAGTTTTGCTGCAGGACATCCTGATGGTGTAAGGAAAGTTCCCCCTCTGCTACTTCAGTATTAATAGATGTCACCCTCCTCCCTACTGTCTGATTATCTAATTGTGAAGGAACAAGTAACATCTGAACAAAAGAAATCTATTATCTTGTTTTCATCCTCCCCGGGTGATAAACAAGAAAGAAGTGGGGTCAAACATGTTTCCAGCCTAACATATTGGCAGAAGGCTAAACAAGCCTTTAAATACAGGCTTTTGTACATAAAAGGGAAACATCTAACGTCTATACAAAAAGCCTAAGGCCAGATTTGAACCTGAGACCTGACAGACAATCTTGCAAAAACACTGTGTAGTTATTATGACATTTTTAAACCAACAAACGAATCATTGTGATTCCTGTTTTCTTGCGACCCCCTGTTATCATAGCGCTGCAGGGATTAAATATACTTTCTTTTTGTGTGCTTCTGTGTGTGCATCAGTAACTAATTGGACCGAATTTCCCTGAGCAACAAAAGATCTGACTCGAAAATTCCAGCTCCGGTCTGCACAGGCTCTGCTTTGTTGTCCGATCGCCTCTGTTTGCTGTGTTAACAGTTATCCCTTCATCTCTCTCTAGCTCTCTTTCTGTCAGCGTCCTTTCTCGCCTTCCCTTTCTTTTTCTCCTACAGCGCATGAAAGGATTTGGTTCCCTCAACCTAGGCACAATCACCTCAGCTTCTGAGGAGCTTTGAAGAAAACTTCTTGCTCACATTTTAAAAAAAGGTAACAGAGAACAAAGCTTGAGGTGAAGCCCGGTCAGACAGATATTATGGACTCTACACCTTCTGTGAAGTGGAAACTTGTATCTTTCTATAGAAAGCTGGCTTTGTCTTTTACTGCAGAACATTGATCAGAAATTTAGGTAGGAGCGCTTGACCCCAACCAGGACAGAGTCTGAAAGTATCACCATGCTTGAGCTGAAGAACCTTGAGGATTTTAGCGATGCCTGTCCCTACATGGATGTAGTGGGTTCTGATGACATGGAGTGTAAGATCTGCTATACTGCATACAATCTGGAGAGCTGCAGGCCAAAAGTGCTTCAGTGCTGTCATCATCTTTGCTCCAAATGCCTCCTTAAGATCCTGGACCTGGATGAGTCACCCTCGAACTCCCTGGTGTGTCCGTTCTGTCGTTATGTCACCAGAGTCGTTGGGGAGGCTGTGAACAATCTCCCTGATGACTGCAACCTGGTGGCAAAGCTCACTCTCCAAAGCAGGAATCAGAGAAACCTCCTGATCAACCAGGACTCCACGGCAGAGCTGCTCCTCAGCCCCAGGCGCCTGAACTCACTGATGGGAGCCAACCCTTCCTCCACCCTCCCCTACTCCACCATCAGAAGCTCTCCTAACTTTGTAGTCATCACTATCATGGAGCCTCCACCAGTCTCCATACCCACCCAGAATCTTCTTGGCAGTGCTTGCAGAGGGAACCAGAACCCACCCGGTCAGGAGTCTTTGCCATCCAGCTCTCACACATGGACCATGTGGAACTGCACAGCTCTGTTCTGCCAGACTTCGGCCAGGGTTCTATTGTGGATGCTGGGGCTCTTGTACTTTAGTTCGCTGCCAATGGGTGTTTACCTGCTCATTATGCAAAGGACCACAGTTGGGGTGTTGTTGGTGAGCCTGGTGCCTGCCAGCCTCATCATCATCCTAATCTACGGGTTCTGTCAGTGTATCTGCTATGAGTTATGGCACTGCCTGCTACCCTGACAGGACTGATGGGCCAGGCTGAAGGATAGGGCAATGCACCGCTCACTTTGAAAATATATTCTTGTGGCTGTTCCTGCGCAGCCAACCTTAATAACTGAAAAAACATTTGAAATCAGTGTCATTTACACAGCATCTGTTTTTGTTTTATACCACATTTAGTTAAAGCTCCAGTTACAAGATTATTTTTTGTGAAGACCTGCTTTATGAGAAATATTTGAAAATATATTGTGCAAATAAAAAACATTCTTTGACAACTGTGAATGTTCAATCATTTCTCAAGTGAACATTACCACTCAGCATTGATCAGACATTGGATATTGGTTACTAGCCAACAGAACTTGCAACCAACAAATTGACAATGTTACATTGATGCAAAAATCTTTACCTTTAACGGATGTTAGCTTTTGATGCTGTATTAATGTTGGCTTTAGGTTGTCCAATGTTGATGCAACTTTGATACCTATACCCAACTAAGAACCAACATTAATACAATGTAAGGCGTCTGCTTGGTATTAAATGTAAACGAGGGGAAATCTTTTTATAACAAAATTCTGCTCAAAGAAATGCCAACAGCAGAATTTTTCTACATCTAAAATTTACTCACCCTCAAATCACGAGTTAATTCTGAAAACACTGGAGATCCAAATACTGGGTCATTCTCTTCAGGCAAACTGTAACTTCCCAACCCATCAAATCCATTCAGTGATTCTTGCTGTAGTTCTTTAATAAACTAAGAAATTATTTAATATCCTCCTCTGTACGCCATAAGGTTTCGGTCTTATTTGGTCTTATTTTGCATGAGACAGCCATGGAATCTGGTAAACAGTTTCTGGGTTGTTTTAGAAAATTTACCTGCTTTATGACCTAATTCACTTCTGGTTTCTGGCAATTTTCTGAAATATCGGGTTAAGAGAGGAGTTTGTTTTTAAGGCTTAATTTGGGGTGCTATTGAATGTCACTTACCCTTAATCTTATCTTTATCCTTATCTTTCTTATGGTAATTATTATAAATTACATAACAAAAAACAATATAACAACTTAAAAGCCTTTTGAAAAATTATTTGGTGATGCCATGTTTAATTTTTTGTTGTTTTTATTTGTTAAGAATTTAAAAATCACTAAAAGTAAAGGAAAAATGGAAGACGCTGATTAAGAAGCGGATATTTTTATTAGACAATCCAGGATTAATGATGCCTGCAAGAATAACAGTATCATTAACAGTGGTGTTTTAATTCATATGTTGATTTTATCTTGAATAAATTCAAACAACACATAAAACAGCTGAAATACATACAGCCAATGATCTACCTGTGCAACACAATAGCCCCACTAGGGGGCGACAAAACCCATAAAATGGTAACCGTCTCTGTGAAAATAAACCTGAAATAGAGCAGAAAAAATAAAGAAATAAATAAGGGAAGTGGGACTGATATATAGAAAACAATCGTTTCAAAAGTACAATTTTTTTTAAACAACTATGTGTCTTGGGGATAAGAAGGGATAAAGGTTTGTATTATCTGGTAAAGTACCATTATTACAAAACACATCCGAATGTTTATGTTTTAACCTCAGATGTTTAATAGTAAAAAAAACACTTAATTAAAAAAAAAAAAAAAACATCTTATTTCACAATGAAAATGTCTTAAAACGTTTGAGTCCACTTTTGTAGATTGTTACTAAAATTTAAATTATCTGCCAATACTCTGCTTAAATTATAAATTGTTAATATGTACGGTATTCATAAAATCTTCAATGCTCTTTCATTTAAAGTAGCCTGACACTAACAGCATTAAATGGACATGTTGGCTACTTTTTTAGAAGAGAGTTGCAACCATAAAAAACACTAAAAAATTAGATTCTTTAAGCCTTTATATTTTTATACTTATCCTCCATGTTGGCCTAACATAAAAGATAATACAAAATTTTAACCAATCCTGAAACAATTAATTGCCTTGCACAGTACCGAACTTTGCGATTAAATTAATTTCTGCTCACCGATTGTCAGCTGTAACTAACTATATCTCTGAAACGTGTTACATTTTCACATGACCCTGTCTAAAGTAATATTTTCTTTAGCTTCCCCTCATCTCTCACTGAAGGCACATTCACTTAAAGGGCTCAGCAGACACTGAGGAAAATGTGAAACAACCTGAAGATTTTGAAATAAACAGTTTCTAAACATTTAGAAATATGTGTATTACCCAGAGCTGATGTTTAGTATCTTACACCCTGCTGTGAGATGCTGGATTGTTTATGGGGCCTCTTCGCATAGTCTGAGATCTTCCCTGGTATAATAGATCTGGGTATCTAGTGCTCTGGTGCTCTGACCTGCTCCTGTTCTGCCAAGTACATCCCGTGTAGTGCTATTTTTTCTCCCATTACGGTTTCTTCAATGTTTCATCCCTTGGGGCCATCTTCATAATGTATTCTTAGAGCTTGGATGTTTCATCTTCAATGGTTGCTATGATGGTCTACAGGCCCTGCCTCCCTATGTGCTTAGTGTATAGCCTGTGGATACTGGATTTGGTGTGACAGCGACCATGCATGGTGAGTTGCTTTCATGTTTTATTCTCAGTTGCCAGAATTTCCTTGATTATTGACAAGGCATATAGCAGTCACCTGACCAGACCTTGTTCTTACCACTGAGCTGACTTCTCAGAACTTGCCTTACCCATTGCAGGTATTTGGCTTTTGCGGCTTTCCTTGTGGTTGTCATTCACCTGTGGTATTTCAAGGTACTTCTACATCTGCTATTCTTCGTTCTGGGAGTGTGACTCCCTTTGTGTGGATTACCTTCCCTCTCCTTGTCACCATCCAACCCAAATGGCATTCTGATGTCCCTTCTGTAGATGCTGGTGATGTCAATCAGTGGGTTAATGTCTTGCTAACTCTTAGCATACAGCTTGATGTCATCTATGTGAAGGAGGTGGCTGATAGTGGCCCCATTTCAGAGTCAGGAGGACTCCGTAAGGAGGATCCATGAGAATGTTCAAGCCTATGAAGAGCAGCAAGGGGGGCAGAGCATCTTCTTGGTATTTTCCACATTTGATGGAGAGTGTAGTCAAAATTGGCCTCAATGGTGGTTTGCAACAGTCTCATGGAGTTTGTATTGAAGGTCGCCAGAGTGTTGTTGACCTTGTTTAGCTTGACCTTAACATGATTACTTGATGAGATGAATGGAGTCTGGTGTGTTATTGCTTGGTTGGAAAGAAAACCTGCTACACAGCCCTTTCTGGAACCAGTTTGAGACTCCTGCCTAAAAGAAGAAAAGATAAAGGTATTTTATTCCCATCATCTTTACATGTTGAGAAGCCCTTGTTCAGTTAGTGATTACACTTCTGGTTTTACAGGTAGGATGTTTTAGTGCAGGATCTCATTAACCTGATGGAGCTTTATAATAAGGACACCTTGAACTTGGAAGAGGAGATAACCAGAGCAAAGGAGATGACTGACCTTCATTTTAATGACAGAACTGAAAAATTGAAATCTAAATAAGAAATTATTTCATAAAATAAGTGCATTTTTATTGAAATGAGGAGGTAAGAGAGACACTTTGCACATGGAACAATTTTTATTAAGTCCATAAAAAAATAATAATAATTGTCTTATTTCAAGTGCATATTATCTAATTATCCTATTTTAAGAGTAAACATACTCATTCCATTGGAAAATCACATTGTTTATCAAATTAATGGTAAATACCTTTAATTTAAGAAATTTTTACTTATTTCTAGATATTTTTTTAAAGTGTGGAGTTTTCTGTAAGTGACCAGCTAACAGTGTACAACTGAAAACACAGGAGATCCAAATACTGGGTCATTCTCTTCAGGCAAACTGTAACTTAAGAGCCCATTAGAGATTATTTGAAGCAATGAGGCTAAATGTAGTTCCTATGAACCTTATTGAAACCTCTGGTAAAAGTGTGTAACAAAACCCCATCAAATCTATTCATTTATTCTTACTGATGATCTATTTAATCTCCTCCTCAGAACACCATAAGGTTTGGGTCTTATTGGTCTTATTTTTCATGAGACGGCCATGGAGTCTGGTAAACAGTTCTGGGTTGATTTAACCAGATGTTTTAGAAAATGTACCTGCTTTATGACCTAATAATTCACTTCTGGTTTCTGGCAGTTTTCTGTAATATCGGGTTAAAAGAGGAGTTTGTTCTACAAGGCTTCATTTGGGGTGCAATTAAATGTCACTTACCCTTAATCTTGCTTACTCTAATTTTGGAAACAATAAATCTTTTCATCTGTAGGTGGCGCTAGAGACATATCAGAAGCAGCTCCTGAAGCATGAGCTGAGGCACCAACAACAGGTGAATATAGAGACCTGAGGAAACAGAGGAATACATCATCCTGGAAAAGATTATTAGAGGGCTGCTTGCCGATATGTCAGCTCTCTCCCACTGTCTCATTCTTCGATTTTTAAATACAGCCCCATCTGTTATCAGTCCTTCTCCTCCTCATTGTAAAATCGTTATCACATGTGGGAAATCCAGAGGTGGGTAGTAACTAGTAGCATTTACTCTATTACATTAACTTAAGTAGCATTTTGAAAACAAAAACACTTTTATTAGTTTTACTGTACCGTATTTTGTACTTTAACTTGAGTAATATACCTGTAAAGTATTGCTACTCCTACTTGAGTAAAATTCCATTATTCATTATCATTAATTATCCTGAATTTAAACAGATGTTTATCCTGGCATTAACATTTCCAATGTATTTCACACCCAGGAGCGTAGCCAGAAATTTTTTATAAAGGTGGCCAGGCAATAACCAATGTACACTGAGGGGTGGCCGAAAGCGGATAGGCACCACAACCGCAGGGTCAATCTACACTGTTCCAACAGGAAAATAAATGAGAAAAACATCCATATTTTCGAAATAAAGACAAACTATATAGCCTTTGCCAACAAATAGACGCATATATTTAAACTCTGTAATTTCTAGATAAAAGGCATAGTTTTGAGTTCTGGGGCGTAAGTCTCTTCCATTGTCATTACTTACCTACTTTTATCATACATATTCTGCGTAAAATTGATATTTGCAAGCACTAATATATACATAAATTGATTATTTGATAAGTTTTTATTAAAATTGTTATTTTATCTTTGATTTCACTGAAGACTCTTAGATGGCTTGCAGAGACACATCATTTTCTCTTTATCCCCATATAACACAGAATCAAGTTCTGAAAAGAGCATGAATTCTGTACTTAT